AATCACCTTTCTAACTGTAGATTACACATCTCATGACATTTGTAAGCTAACGTTTGGGTTATCTTTATTACTTGACTCGCCTGGGTCAGAAAGTCCTTTGCCTTTCCTTATCTGGTCAGTTCAGCCCTTCGGCCCTCGCTGGACTCGAACCTCCTGGCTTGATGAATGCCTCTTCTTTTTATTCATGACAACACTGGACTCAACCCTTGTCCTAAGTAGTGAGATTTTCTAGTTTTTTTTCCTAATTTTTAAATTTATTTTTTAAATTGAAAGGGATGCATGCCAATGTGGGCCTCTGATTAGAGTGGGGAAGGTCAAGTTTGGAGGAAAGTGGGTGGGACAAATGTTTCATATTTATTTTTCCTGTGTCCACAAGGGAGGAGGGCAAAGAGAGCTGCTCCTTGCTGGCAAACTACATCGGCACTTGGGAATGCGAGGGGCCGTCTTCTGATAATGTCTTAGAGACCCCATTGTGGGAAGAGTGTTCTGAGGATGTTACTTAATTGGTTTCCATAGTTCTGAAGTTTCTGATTTCGTTGTCACAGGTTTGAGAAAAATCTTTCCAAGGTCTACTGGTTGACAAAGTTCACTTTAGTGCATCCAGAGTTCCAGGAGCATGCTGCAAAGCTTGGCCAGGAGAGTGGTCCAATCTGTCCGGCTCACCATCCTCCAATGAGGCAGTCAGCATCCCTTGTTGGCCTAGATGAGCTGACTGTCATGTACCCTGTACATCAGGGCATGCTGTCCACTGCACAGGCACCAGCAACTGAAGAGGCCCAGTCTTGATACATGGACTCCAGGTTGGACCACACATCCTCTGATTTTCCCTGGAGCCAGGGTCTGAGTCCAGCAGTCTAACTGGGAATTCCCTCAAAAAGCCTCGCCTGTGGTGTCCTAAGACTTGACTCTCACGTGTGCCTGCCATTGCAGGGTCAGATTCAATCTGTCACCTGCACCAGCCAACGTATGTACTGGTAGATGCAGCCACTTGGTCACTTCTGCCCCAGCCTCGTATCTCATGTGATCTGAAAGACGCTGTGGCCCAGTCCAGTCAACCAGCCTGGCCTTGACACAGACCCAGCCCTCACACATACCAGTGACTACCACAGCTTAGCTGGGGTGACCCCCACTGATCTCCAGGCAGGCCCACCCCCAGCCTCTGCTGCAACCTAGTCCAGCCCAGCCTGCCTCTTATGTGTACCCATGGGGGCCGTGGCTTAGCTCAGCCTAACCCACCCCCAAACCCAGGCATCATATATGCCAGCAGCTGTTGCCTCCTTGTCCAGCCTGGTCTGCCCCTAGCCCTGGTTCTCATACTCACCAGCAATAGGTAGAGTCTAGCAGGGGAATGCCCACAGTTGCCCCTGCCAGGCATGTTTCCAGCTGCGGATCTCACATCTGCCAAGGGGTAGTACAATTCAGCCTGGCAAAAAGAATAGTAAGTTGAACCTAAAGTCAAGAACTTCCAGGCCCAGAGTGATAGTCCAGTGGCTAAATACTTGCTTTGCATGTGCTAGGATGCCACATGGGCACCAGTTCGTGTACCACCTGCTCCACTTCCCATCTAGCTCCCTGCCTGTGACCTGGGAAAGCATTGGAGGATGGCCCAAAGCTTTGGGACACTGCTTTCACATGAGAGACCTAGAGGAAGCTCTTGGCTCTGGATCGACACAGCTTACATCCACTTGGCGGTGAACCAGTGGACGGAAGATCTCTATCTCCTTCTCTCTATAAAATATGCCTTTCAAATAAAAACAAATTAAATCTTACATATACTTTTAAAAGAACTTCTAAAGACACTAGTTAGAAAATGAGAAGGCAGATGATACACTGGGAAGATATTTCTAAACCACATAACCCAACAAAGAACTTACATTCAACTGCCATGGGCTGAGTATGTCTCCCTAAAATCCGTATGCCAAAGCTATAACCCCTGGTGTGAATATATTTGGGGATAGCACCCCTGAAGAGGTGTTAAGGTTAAATGAGATCTATGGGCCTGGCACAACAGTCTAGTGGCTAAAAGGTCTTCGCCTTGTAAGTGCTGGGATCCCATATGGGCATTGGTTCTAATCCCAGCGGCTCCACTTCCCATCCATCTCCCTGCTTGTGGCCTGGGAAAGCAGTCGAGGATGGCCCAAAGCCTTGGGACCCTGCACCTGTGTGTGAGATCCAGAAGAGCTCCAGGCTCCTAGTTTCGGAATGGCACAGCTCTAGTCACCATAGCCGCTTGCGGAGTTAATCCTCAGATGGAAGATCCTCCTGTCTCTCCTCCTCTCTGTAAATCTGCCTTTCCAATAATTTTTTTTAAATTAGTTTGGGCTGGAAAATCTAAATTTTAACATCTCGCAACATGAGACCTAGCAACCACAAGCCCACATTCCAGCCTGGCTCTCATGGCTGGAGTCAAGTTTCAGCAACCGCCTGGGTTCCCTGCCAGCCAAAACATCCTGAGCTCCAGGTCTCACAGATTCCTGCAAACACCAAGCCTCACTTTGGTTCCCAAAAGTCCCAGATCTGGGGACACCTGCACTCAACACCAGAGCTGGGATTCTCTGAGACGAAAATGGAGTTGAAAGAAATAACACACTGTTCTTTAGCCAGAACAGATGTGGCGTGTACTCACCTGTGTCGTTTGCCCACCTGCTCCACGGCCAACCTGGGTGTTTCTCAACAGAACGGTAGGAAAGGTCATGATGATAGGGATGGAGGGGGAAGCAGATTAAGATAGCTCCAGGTTCAAAAAATCTCTCTAATGATTTGATGATATCATTCATGACTGGTTCGCCTAAGATGTCTTATAGACCCAAAGTGCAACTATGACATCACTTTATGAGCTCAGGCTCCAAATTTGAATGTCAGCTGTATTGTTGACTGGCAGTGTCATCCTGGGCGAGTACCTTGCCTCTCATTTGTTTCCGTGGATACAGGAAGAAATAACACAGCCATTTCTACCCCCAGGTCCACCTGGGTCAAGAAAGTGCATATGCATCAAGCACTCCCAAACTCCTTGGCATATACTAAAAGCTAATGGCCCAGTCTGAATCTTGCTGCTTCTCACCAACAAGGTGAGGTGTGAGGCTTAACTGACACACAGAGATGAGCTGGAGGCCCAGCCAGAGTTGTGACTATTTATGATTATCTATAAAAAGTCAAAAGGGATCACTGGCTGGTCCCTGCCAAGGCGGCCAGGGAGAGCTCGTTTGGGCTTGGAAAAATCAGGATGAAACTCTCAGAGGGTTGAATCCAAAGGTTGGAAACTGGGAGAAGAGCAGGCAAAGGGGGAAGGGGATTTGGTGCACTGTGCAGACTCCAAGCCACAAGAAGCAGCTCTGGGGCCCAGCAGTGTGGCCTAGCGGCTAAAGTCCTCACCTTGAACGCGCCAGGATTCCTTATGAACGCTAGTTCTAATCTCAGCAGCTCCACTTCCCATCCAGCTCCTGCTTGTGGCCTGGGAATGCAGTCGAGGACAGCCCAAAGCCTTGGGACTCTGCACCCGTGTGGGATACCCGAAAGAAGTTCCTGGCTCCTGGCTTCGGACTGGCATAGCACCGGTCATTGCACTCACTTGGGGAGTGGATCATCGGAAGGAAGATCTTTCTCTCTGTTTCTCCTCCTCTCTGTATATCTTATTTTCCAATAAAAATTAAACAAATCTTGAAGAAAAAAAAAAAAAAGAAGAAGAAGAAGAAACCCTGGGGGCCAGCACTGTGGCATGGCAGGCTAACTGTCCACCTTGGGGTGTAGCATCCCACACATCTGCTGGTTCACATCCCAGCTGCTCCACTTGTGATCCAGCTCCCTGCTTATGGCCTGGGCAAGCAGCAGAGGACGTAGGTTCAAGTCCTTGGGACCCCAGACTCTTGTGGGAGACCCAGAAGCAGCTCCTGGCTCCTGGATGACTCAATCTGGGGCATGAACCAGCAGATGATTCACTCTTAAAAACAAAAATTCACCTTTTAAATAAAAAAGAAATAAATCTTAAAAGGAAAAGAAAAACCTGGATGCCTTTTCCATGTTTGGTAAAGTCCCAGAAGACCATTTGTCCATTCAGAGGGAAAAACAATTTTTCATTATTGTTTTTTCCCTTATTTTGAGAAATAAAAACACCGGAACTTGAACCAAGGCAGGCAGGGACGGAATCCCATTCAATCCCGGTTTCCCGCAGCACAGGATGAACACTGAGCAGGAGTCGCTTTTGCCCTGTCCACCGTCTAAGCCTTAAGATCAGGCACCTTAGGGGACAGGTGCATTCGGACCCCCAACATCAGATGTGCACACAGCTGGTGGGACGGTAAGATAATACAGATGAGAGTGAATGTGCCCAGCAAGGCTGGAGGACGGGCTCCCGGGGACACCCGGACCTGGGCTCTCTGCCCCGGGCCTCCAGGATCATGGCCGGTGGCTTTGTGGCTCTCCACCTGTTCCCTGACAGGAGTCGTGCCTGGAGGGTTGAAGTTCAAGACCTAGCCCGGGTCTGTGGGTCTCTCGTGTAACCCAAGCCCTGGGCGCGCCACCTCAAAGCAAAACAGTCCCAAAAGAGGGCGTCCTCGCGGTCCGCTGGACTTGGGGCGCCTCAAGAGTCACCCTAAGGTAACTTGGGCCTTCCAACCTCCGCGAGACGCGCAATTCTGGGGGCAGCCCAAGAGGAGGCCCTCTAAAAAGCCTCCTTCTGAAGAACCCGATTCGAAGCTTCTGCTCCGGCGCCGCCGCCAAATGAGAGCGAAGAGAACTCGGCCGCGTTCCAATTCATTCCTGAAAATTCCCGAGGTTGAAACACCAACACACTCCGCCACCTACTGGCGGGAAAGACCAAGGCGGCGTCACCGAGCACTACTGCGCACGCGCGCCGCTCCGGCCCTGCCCGCGCGCTCGCGGGGTACGGACTACGCATGAGCCTGCTTTGGAGGGCGGAGTCCACAAGCCGGGGTCCTCCCTGCCTGTCACCGAAGGCAGCCCTTCCAGCCCGCTCGGCTCGCCACCTTGAAACTACGTTTCCCAGAAGCCTCCTATCCCAGGGACTTCCGGTGTCGGCAGCGGAAGCCGTGACTGGCCCAGGCCAGGCCACACAGAGACCGGCTTGGTCACTATGGAGGAAATCGGCATCTTGGTGGAGAAGGCTCAGGTGCCGCGGGCGGGAGATTTGGACTTTGCGGGTTGGGCCAGTCTGCTGGGGGGAGAGAGCCGGACTTGAGTCGGGCTGTGCTGAGTCACGGTGTGGATCCCTGCTCGGGTCTGGGGGGTGAGATGGGAGGAGGCCTCGATGCGGAGCTGGGGGCCGCGGGGCTGGGGTCGTGCGTGATGGTGGAGACTGATGGGCTGGCCCGGCGGGGGGCTGCTTGACTAGAGTCATGTTGACTGCGGTGGCAGAAGAGGTGCCCCGGTGTAGTGTGAGGTGAGAGCCCGTGACGTAAGGGATGGGAGGGAGGCTTGGAGGCACGATGACGTCAACGACCCGCCTGGGAAAGAGACACGTGACACCAGGAACCAGTGGAACGAGGATTGTGGCACACTAGGGTCCTGTAAGGAGTTTGTGTGACAGTCTGACCCCAGTTGGAGGTCTGGGGGATACTGGGGTGTGTTCTGAGCTTGTTGGAAAAGCAGAAGATGGGTCTGGGCGAACGTGGAAGGGGGCAGGTGTCACCTGGAGCCCACGAGGACTCCAGGATGTGCTTGTAAAGGGCTGCAGGATGCCGGCGTGTCCTCAGGGCTGGGCAAGAGGGGTGGGGGTTCCTTCTCATCCAGCCTGAGTTTTGTTTTTCTCCTTTGGTCTAGGATGAAATCCCAGCCCTCTCCGTGTCCCGGCCCCAGACGGGCCTGTCGTTCCTGGGTCCTGAGCCGGAGGACTTGGAGGACCTGTATAGCCGCTACAAGGTATACTTGGCCCCTGCTATGGGCCAGCCTGCCGTCCTCCACTCTCCCAGCCCAGAATGTCCCCCGTCCTCTGTTCCCCCAGTCAGGCCCTGCCCTCCATCCTCTGTTCCCGCAGCCCAGGCCTGGCCCCCATCCTCTGTTCCTGCAGCCCAGGCCTCCCTGCCCACTCCCCACCCCATCCTCCACTTCTCCAGCCTGGGGCCCTGCAATGGGCTTGGCCCATTGTCCTTCACTCCTGCAGCCTGGCACCCATCCTCCGCTCCCCCTGCCCAGGGCCAGCCCAGCCGGCCCTCCTGTGCCCCTCAGGCCACCGCTGACCCCGCGGCCTCCTGTGTGTTGGCAGAAGCTGCAGCAGGAGCTGGAGTTCCTGGAGGTGCAGGAGGAGTACATCAAGGACGAGCAGAAGAACCTGAAGAAGGAATTCCTGCACGCCCAGGAGGAGGTGAAGCGCATCCAGAGCATCCCGCTGGTCATCGGGCAGTTCCTGGAGGCCGTGGACCAGAACACGGCCATCGTGGGCTCCACCACAGGTGGGTCACGGCGGGGAGCGTCTCTTCCCGGCCCCTGGTCACTCGGCGCTGTGTCTCTTTAGCGCGTGTTCATGCATTGCTTTGTGGTTTTTTAAGATTTATTTATTTTATTTGGAAAGGCAGATTTACAGAGAGAGGGAGAGACAGAAAGATCTTTTATCCACTGATTCACTCCCCAAGTGACCACACAGCCAGAGTCAGGAGCTTCTTCTGGGTCACCCACGTGGGTGCAAGGTCCCAAGGCCTTGGGCCTTTCTCCACTGCTTTCCCGGGCCACAAGCAGGGAGCTGGATAAGATGTGGAGCAGCTGGGATATGAATCGGCGCCCATATGGGATCCCAGTGCTTACGGGTGGTAGGTTAGCCAGTGAGCCTTTGTGCTGGCCCCTAGCATTTCTGTTTTTACTTCACATGTTTGAGAAGCAGGGACAGGCAGTAAGACTCATTCCTTTCTCTCGTTCACTCCCCAAATGCTTGCAACGTCTGGGGACTGGACCAAGCTGAAGCCAGGACCCAGGAGCTTCTTCCCGGGTCTCCTAAGTGAATGGCAGAAGCCCTTCTCCCTTCCCCCATTCCTGTCCCCCTCAAGCACTTGGGTCATCTTTCACTGTTTTCCCAGGTACATTAGCAGGGAATTGGATTGGAAGGGGAGCACGCCAGACTCGGAACTGGTGCCCATATTGAATGTTAGTTGTTGTAGGAGGCAGCTTAACTGACTACACCACGATGCCAGCTTCCCCCACACCCAAGCTGTGTTCTTATAAGGGTTGTAGGCAGCTGCATGTGACAGCCTGAAATTGAAATGCTGAGATGTGAGGAGAGGGAAATGTGACCTGGGAGCCAGTGGGGCTCTCCCTGCAATGGTGCCTTGTTGGGAGAGTAAATTTGGTAGATGAGCTGGGGGGCAGTGCAGCGGCCACAGGGAGGTGTGCAGCCTCCTGGGCGGCCAGGCCTGGCTATCAGAAGGGGGCTTGAACTTGCAACTCTAGCATAAAAGTGCAGGCCTGATGACCAGGGACTGAGCCCGAGAGGATGGGGCTGAGTCAGGGTGAGGAGACTCAGAGCTCAGGTGGAAGATTAGTGACTGATGGGCCATGGAGGACAAGGAAGGAAGGTTCAGGGTGAGGCTGGGGACCAGAGAACGGGGGCCTCCTTGACACAGATACAAGAGCAGCTGGATGCTGAGGGTGTGTGGGGACCCAGGAAGTGATAGGAAACCTTGGGGACAGACAGGGAAAGCTCACTGGAAGGCAGGACAAGAGCCAGGCAAGGACGTTGGCGGTATGGCCATGTGGGATGGACGGGAGGAGACCAGGTGGCGACTGAGAGGGGCCCATCTGCAGTGGAGAGAGATGGGCAGGCTGGGGTGGAGTGCTGTCCCCTAGCATCTTCCCCATGTCTTCCCTTCTGCTCTCCCCAGGCTCCAACTACTACGTGCGTATCCTGAGCACCATTGACCGGGAGCTGCTCAAGCCCAACGCCTCTGTGGCCCTGCACAAGCACAGCAACGCCCTGGTGGACGTGCTGCCCCCCGAGGCTGACAGCAGCATCATGATGCTCACCTCAGGTCAGCAGCAGGGGAAGCCTGTGCCCAGGTGTCCTCAGGGATACCCTCCCTACCCAGGGCTAGTCCCAGAGCCCCAGCTCTGCTCTCCCCTCCAGACCAGAAGCCTGATGTGATGTATGCGGACATTGGTGGTATGGACATCCAGAAGCAGGAGGTGCGGGAGGCTGTGGAGCTACCACTCACCCACTTTGAGCTCTACAAGCAGGTGAGGTGGCTGAGGCCCTGTGGAAGCTGAGGCTGGGGCTGGGATTAGGGTCAAGGCTGAGGGACGGCCTCTCGTGCTCATGTGCCTCTGCTGCTCTGGGTTGCAGATCGGCATCGACCCTCCCCGAGGCGTCCTCATGTACGGCCCGCCCGGCTGTGGAAAGACCATGCTGGCCAAGGCCGTGGCACATCACACAACAGGTGAGCGTTGCCTCTGAGCCCCATGCTCTGACCTGCCCTTCTCACCTGGCTCCCCAGGTAGCCCCCAGGCACAGGATCCCACTAGGGCACTGGGCCCACAGCACAGGCGCGCCTCTGCCCTGGCTCTGCAGGCCTGTTCATGCCTCTGTGTCCTCAGGACGGATACCGTGTCTGTCCCATGACAGACACGTCAGTAGTCAGAGTTGAACTTGGTGGGTCTCAGCCTGTGTAAGACCTGAGCTAGAATGGAAGATGGCCTGAGCTTGCAAGCTGGCTGCCCTGCCCACCACTCACATGCTGCCCCGTGAGTGAGTTCCCCCAAGAGCGAGGGTTACAGGTCATAGCAGCTCCTGTTTTCCGAGAGAGATCCATAAATCACATGGATAATAAATCAGCAAGAGGCATGCTGGGTGTGTGGTGAGCGGGCAGGAAGCGTTGGCCATCACTGTGGTTCCTTGTTTGCCTGGTGCTGTATTCAGCTTTTCCTCTGTGCCGGCTCGTGCTAGAAGGTGCAGATGCCTTGGCTAGGGAACGAGAAGTGCTTGCTGTGTGCCAGGATGTGGTCCAGGTGCTGGGGGCGCTGCAGCAACAGAGCAGCATCCCATCCCTCACAGAGTCGCCGCCCCTGCACCATGAAGTGCTGGAACGAACGGATGGGCGGGGAATGGCGAATGTGTCTTAGGCACTGGGCGCATGGGAACTGCTCAGCAGGGTGAGGAGATTCAGAGTAACAGGCTGGGCAGGGGTCTCAGAGGTGATGCTTGTGTGACGGGGTGAGCCTCCGGGGAGACCACCTGGAGCACAGGCCTTGGGGCAGGAGGAGGCTGAGAGCAGGGGCAGGAGGTGAGGTCAGGGGGGGCCGCCTGTGGAGAACGGAGGAGGAAGAGTGCCCTGAGCACGTGTCCTCTGGCGCCCAGAGGTGGGAAAGGACCACACTCGGAGGACCCCAAGGGCTGGACCTTCTGCATGTCTCTTCTCGTTTGCTTGCCCGCCAGCTGCAGGCGAGCAGGTGCTCAGCCTCACAGAACGTGTAACTGCCTATGGAGAGGCTGTGCTGGGCAGGCTCCAAGCTGAGACACAAGAGGAGTTCCGCCCCAGCGGAAGTCCCAGGCAGGTTCCCAAGAGAGAAGATAGATGCTCTCCTAACCAACCAGGTTTGGTGGGCAAGAGAGAGGTAGTGGGTCAGGTAGCCGGCGGGCCCTGGTAACCTCACAGCATCACAGGCGGGGGGGGGAGGGTCAGGGGCTTGAACTGGGGGATTTCAGGGATCAAGAGGCCCTCAACTGGAACCCCAGGCAGGGTGGTCTGTGTCTGTCCCCCAGCCAGCTAGGCCATGGATGAGATCTGGAAGTTACCAGGGTGTAACTCGGCCGTAGCTCAGCCATAGCTCAGCCCCTGGGGTCGGCTGTAGCCAGACTTGGCAAAAGAAAGGCGTGACATCAGGAGGGACAGGGAGGCAGGCTGGTGGCTCCCTGGAGTGTTCAACTCCTTACAAGATACAGGAACAAGCTGGTATCTACCAAGTGCCCACTGTGCGCCAGCAGGCAGCACTGAGGTCTCGTCCTTCAGGCGTTTATGTTGCAGGGGAAAGGGGAAGCCCAGAGGGAGCACTCGAGAGAAGCAGTTCCCTGACTGGGGAAGGAGGTCCCTGGGGCACTGGGACTGAGCACTAGCGGGGTGGGCGAAGGGGAGAAAAGAGCTGTCGCTGCTGACAGGGAGCTGAGCTGTTCTAATCTTCGGGGCAGTGACAATGGACAGTGGAGCTGAAGTTCCAAGGCCAGTGGAGAGGGTTTGCCATGGAGATGGGAAGCCATGGTGGTGCCCGGCTGTCCTGTTCTCTGGCAGCCCTGTGGTGGCTATATGGGGTGGATGGTGGTAGGTTTTTAGCCACTGATGGTGAAACAGATGTCCCTGGTTAATAAGCAGCCCTCCAGCAAGATGGGCATCTTACACATAAAAAAGTGAAGTTACAGAACTGGCTCAAGGCCACCAGATGGTAAATGAGGACCAAGATTTGGTCCCACACTAACCACACAGGTCAGTTTCATAACTGCTCTGGATTCCCTGGTCTCAGTGAGCCCCAGGGACAGGGGTTGCTATGAGGGTAAGCAAGAAAAGTGGTGCAAGGCATGTTGGGAGAGCGTTGCCAGGGATGGCCAACTGGTGAGGAAAGCCTCGTGGCGGCACAGGCTGGGACTGTGGTTAGCACCCAGCACGCCTACTAGTCACCGCCCCCTTTTTTTTCTGCAATGTAGTGTTTTTATATGTATGTGTTCTTTTGGTTTAAACATCTTCATTATTTTGAATTCTACAATCAGGCAATGTATCTAGTTTTTAAACTATTTCCTGAAAATAATTTGAAAGAGAACGAATTCTCTGTTACCCTTCTCCCAGATTCCTCATTGTCCCATAACCACACTGAATGGCGTTGCAATCCTGGTCACCTCTGATTTTCTCATTTTGCCGTCCGGTTCTTTGCCCTGCCCTATGTTCCAGGCTCAGCCGAGCAGGGATAAAAGTTAGAGGACTTGGACTCTGGGCTCTATATTCTGTCTGAGTGTCAGAGAGCGACTGGTCTCTGGCAGAGGCAAAGGGGCCAAGTGGAGGCGGATGCAGAGTGCAGCCAGTTCCGTGGGATGGGGCAGCTGGCACAGTTTCCTGGGGGAGGAGCCAGCAGAAGTCCTGCCCAGCCTGGGCAGGAAGGAGGGACACACGGGCTGTGTGGGAAGAGGCCACTCCAAAGGCAGAGGTGGAGGTTTCTTGTGGGTTAGGTAGACTCTGGCGGAGTGGCCGGTTGGCTGTGTCACAGCAAGGTGGCTGAGGCGTGCTTGGAGCAGAAAGTCTGAAATCTTGAGGTTAGGGTGGCCAGTGGCCAATAGAGGGACTGGAAGGGGGGACGCCCTGGTCCAGGAGTTTGGGGAGTGAGCAGGTGGGACTGCCACCTTACTTTGCTCCCAGATGATGGCATGAAGCCACCCAGCCTGTGTGTGTGTGTGTGTGTGTGTGTTCATTCCTCCTGTGGCTCAGGTGAGTCTGGGAGTGTCCCATTCCACACACATCCAGTCACAGAGACAGCATGAGGCAAAACAAAGGGAAGGCCCAGGCCAGCCTATTGGTCTTCAGTCGCCTGCCGTGGACAGTTGGCAGTCACAGCAGAACGCTGTGACTCCTTCAGGGTACAGAAAGCAACCTGGTACAAGTGGGACCTCAGAGCTTGTGGGGGGCATTATGTGATGTCTTCACATGTGGATGAATCTCTGTTCAAGTAGTGAACCCTGTCCCGGGTGGGCGGGTGGACGGTGTGCGCAGCTGCAGCACTGTGGGGGCCCAGGCAGGGGACTGCTGCCTGGGGCTGGATTTGCGACCCAGCCTCCAGGAGTGAGTGCCCTGGGGGAATCTGGACATCTTGAAAGAGTTGGCAGCTTCGGGAAGAGGACAGGCCCCCACGGGTGGCTGGCCCGTGCCCACCTAACCCTGTCCTCCCGCCATCAGCTGCGTTCATCCGAGTCGTGGGCTCCGAGTTTGTACAGAAGTACCTGGGCGAGGGCCCCCGCATGGTCCGGGACGTGTTCCGCCTGGCCAAGGAGAATGCACCTGCCATCATCTTCATAGACGAGATCGACGCCATTGCCACCAAGAGATTCGACGCACAGACAGGGGGTGAGTGACGGCCACACCAGGCCTGGGGCCTCAGGTGGCCCTGTGGGGCAGCCCGGGGATGCCCAGGACTGACTGGGGGTCTCGTGTCCAGCTGACAGAGAGGTGCAGAGAATCCTGCTGGAGCTGCTCAATCAAATGGATGGATTCGACCAGAACGTCAACGTCAAGGTTGGGGGTCGGGGTGCGCAGAGGGAGATATGGTGTGGGCCATGTAGGACAAGCAGGGCCTGGCACGTAAAAGGGGCAGGTCTCATGACCAGAAGGGGAATGTGGGTGGCAGCCATCTGAGCTGGCCTTTCCCCTCCCCCCATGCCAGGTGATCATGGCCACCAACAGAGCGGACACCCTGGACCCTGCCCTGCTGCGGCCAGGACGCCTGGACCGCAAGATTGAATTTCCACTCCCTGACCGCCGCCAGAAGAGGCTGATTTTCTCCACCATCACCAGCAAGATGAACCTGTCGGAGGAGGTCGACCTGGAAGACTGTATCCTGCTCTGGGCGAGGGCAGGGGTCCCAAGTGGCATCCATCAGCTCCACCACTGCCATCACCACAGCCCAGCTGTGGGGTGTGGGGGCAGGGGGAACAGGCTGCCAAGGCCTGGCAAGGAGGGGTGATGCCAGACAGGACCCAGAAAGCCTTCCCACCCCAGGTGTTCACCCAGCACGCAGGGAGCAGCTTCCTTAATGCAGCACTGCAGACGTGGCCCGGCCAGATAAGATCTCGGGAGCAGACATCAACTCCATCTGTCAGGAGGTGAGCGGCGACCTCTGCAGCCCTGGGCACTGGGCATGGGAAGGCCGCTCGTGGCAGTGCTCTCGCCCTCTCGGTGGCTCCCTTAGGCCCTGCGCCCTTCGCTCCCCTCACACCCACCCACTCTCACTCCCCTCACACCCACCCACTCTCACTCCCCTCACACCCACCCACTCTCGCTCCCCTTACACCCACCCACTCTCGCTCCCCTTACACCCACCCACTCTCGCTCCCCTTACACCCACCCACTCTCGCTCCCCTTACACCCACCCACTCTCACGCTCCCCTTACACCCACCCACTCTCGCTCCCCTCACACCCACCCACTCTCACGCCCCAACAGAGCGGCATGCTGGCCGTGCGCGAGAACCGCTACATTGTCCTGGCCAAGGACTTCGAGAAGGCCTACAAGACAGTCATCAAGAAGGACGAGCAGGAGCACGAGTTTTACAAGTGACATCTCCCCCCCGGAGCACGCCCCAGGCCGGGAGCCCAGCGGCTGCACCTGCTCCGCCCCACTCCTGTCTCAGAACTGAGTTCCCTTTCCGCAGGGTCGGTATATCCAATAAACCAGACAAGGTCAGATCTGCTGCATTCCTTCCGAGAAGCTTAACCCTTCAGAGAGCCGGGCTCTGCTGATCTCACAGACCCCAGGCGGCAGGTGCCTCGTCTAAGAAGGGGCCCCTTGAGAGGGAAGCAAGGTTTGTGACCGGGAGAGAGGGCTGGCAGACAGACCCCTGACCACAGAGGAAAACCCCTGTGCAGCTCTCACTCCCTACGGCTCAGTGACAACAGGGCTCCTGGGGGGCTCCTGACGTCCTGACCCTCGGAGGGTTTCAGGGACACCGAGACGACCCTTAGAGCCCCCCCAGAGCAGGGTGCAGCACTGTGGGGAGCGTTGGGTCTGAGCTCTGATGTTTCCGGCTCCTGCCTGGTATGTTTGGTAGCTGAGTGAACAGTCTTGGCTGCCATCCGTGCCAGCCTGTGTGCACATGCCTGCCTGGTCCTGCCAGGTGTGCCCTCAGCTCTGGAGAGCCTCAGCGACCTCTGACTGCACATGATGCCACAAGTTCATTCTAGCAGCTCCCACGCCCTGCTCTGCCCACAACGGCTCCTGTTGCCCTTGATGTACTTACCTGCTTTGACAGTCACTGGGGCAGGCTCATGTCACTGCTGCCGTGCCGCCCCTTCTGCCCTGTGGACGTGTTCCCCACCCAGTTCTGACACTCCCTCGCCAGCATGCAACCTGACAGGCCTCTGCACCTGCTCAGGAACCTCATGCTGGGCGGGCTCCTGCGTGCACACCCCCTCTTACCCTGCACAGGTGGGCACCCAGGCTGCTCCATCCCTCAACATGGAATGTCTTCCACCAGGCTGTGGCCGCGGCCACCCAGCCAACATGTCCCAAACTACCCTCCGGACCCTACTAAGGTTCTAAGCCCCAAATCCAGAACCACCTGTGCTTTAGGACTGAATTTCTCAGAGAGCAGAAAATGTGTGTAATTTCAAATAAGGCCAGTAGCGTGACTGACTGCACAGGATCTTAGACAAGGTCCATACTTTTTCCTCTTTGGAAAGTGGGAGTCGTGGGGTGGGTGGGTATCTGGTCACGTGGCTGAGATGCCCATGAAGATGCCTGCATCCCACCATCCACCTCTGCCTTGGACCGCAGTTTCAGGTTCATAAATGCTTCCCAAAGCAGCAGTGGTGGCTCCCGTGTTGGGCGCCTGTCATCCCTGTGGGAGATCTGGATTGAGTCCCTGGCTCCTGGCTTCCTGTCAGCCCAGGCCCAGCCATTGCAGGCCTATGAGGAGTAACCCTCACTAACTAATTTTAAATGGTTACAAAATTAGGACTGGCAGAGTCGGACCCAGGATTTAAGACACCTGCTTCCTTCCGGGCCCGCGTTCACCTCCTGCCTGTCTAAGCACAAAGCTGCTGCTTCGGTCCATGTTTCAAACTGGTCTGCCAACGATCCCTCTAAACACGGAAAAGTAAAACTCTTGATTTAGAACGTGCCTATGATCTGCATTGTTCTCTATTTAAGAAAAAAAAAACTCCATATAAAAGACTATTTGATAGGGAAATTGCAACTCTTTTAAGTAAAGGTGATGCGCCAAGATGTTGTAGCATATTCTCTTCATTCCAGAGCAGGGCCCTGGCTGCACAAAACCAGGGGCAGAGTCAGACCAGCCAGTACTGCCAACATGCCACCTGCGGTTCTTCAAGAGTCACAAGGCCCTGCCAGCTTGCACTGGCAGTCAACAGTCCCAGACACCTGGCGACCCACACACCCATTCCATCAACACGTCAGCCCCTTACCATCAGGCTTGCCCACTCCCAGCCAAGCCTGTGAGTTCTCTGTTTCCCACGTGGATCTTGGGAGGCCAGGCAGGAACTGGGTCTGCATCTGCCTGCACCTGTGAGGTCAGGGTTACAGCAATCAGCTCTCTGGCTATGGACTACGTTTCCCAGAAGTCCCCATGGGACGTACTAGCATATTGAGAAGCTCTTCCTGTGCTTCATTTGGGGTGGAGGTGAGACAGAATGGCCATTCAGGGTAAATTCATCTCAGCCAATAAAGAAGTGTATATTAGTAAGAACCAGGGCTGGGAATGGGCTTGGTAGGACCACTTTGGGGACACCCTTGCTAGGCTGCCGCACTCCCAAGCATGCAAGAGCTGGGGCTGGGAGAAGGCATTGTAGCGGTTCATAGGGGTCACCTTGATTAGGCCACAGCACCCACAACACACATAAGAACTGGGCCTGGGGTGGACTGGACTGCTCTAGGTTGTAGTACCTGCTGGTTTGTATGACAACCTGGACTGGACGTGGGACTGCCCAGGCAGCTGCACCCCCAGTACAGGAGGTACAGGAGGCAGACTGAACCCGACCCTGGGTGGTAGGGAAGTGTGTCTCGTGAGCTGAAACCCGTGCTTGGCTCCTCGGCGTGAGCTGAAACCCGTGCTTGGCTCCTCGGCGTGTGAACTGTCCTGGAGTTCCAAATTCTTGCTGCTGTGTGCGCCCTCTCCCCATCACAGCCCCAACCTACACAAAGGAAAACTGAACAAACACGGAGACATTGGACAAAGGTTTCCAGCAAGAAGCCATGGGGCTTTTATTTTTTCTATAAGATTTATTTACTTTTGTTGGAAAGGCAGATGTACAGAGGAGGAGAGACAGGAAGATCTTCCGTCCAATGAGTGAATGCAACAGCTGGAGCTGAGCCAATCCGATTGCAGGAGCCTTGGGCCGTCCTCGACTGCTTTCCTGGGCCACAGGCAGGGAGCTGTGGGAAGCGGGGCTGCCGGGATTAGAACCGGCGCCCATATGGGATCCCAGGCGTGCAAGGCGAGGACTTTAACCACTGCGCCATCACGCCGGGCCCCAAATAAATTCTTGATTTGTTTTGGATGATACAGTTCCCTCGACTCAGGGTTTTCCCCTTGTACCCTCTCCCACTCTGTCTCCCGCCATCTCTCTCCGCCTGTAACAGCAGTGGAGTCCCCCCAACAACGGCCACACAGCCCCACCATTGTGCTGTCCAGTGCATCCTGCCACTATGCCGTTGTAGGGAGAGAGCACCGTGTGAAGTCCAGCACTCTCCTGCAAGCCTATCTAACAGTTTCATTGGGAGTCCGTCTTTTACTCAGAAGCAGAGATGCAAACTGCAATATATCTCCACTTCCGGGCACTCTTGTCCCATCATACGGCTCCCCTAGATAAGCTCCCAGTTTGGGAACAGCTCAGTTCCAGCCGTTGCGGCCACTTGTGGGGAGAGCCAGCGGATGGAGGATTTTTCTCTTGGCATCTCTTTCCCTCATCTCAGTCAGTTTCTTTTGGGATCTCCCCAATCGAAACGCTGGACTCAGAACCCTAACCAAGAGAAGAGAGAAGACAGAACAGGTCAATCAACCATCTCAGCTATATGTTGGCAGCGAAATACAGGGCAAACAGTGACTCTATGATGGACTATGTCACTCAGTGGATTCTTCAAAGACCTCATAGTGCTTGGAGTGGCAAGATTGACAGCGATTCATAACTGGTGAACTATCAAAACCACTTGAGCAAGAACCTCGGAGCACACCCTACATCAGGGACCTGGGGAGGGTGGGAAATTGGGTGGGCCTTCTCCCTTAATACCCCCCTTTAAACATGAAGGACACAATATGGAAATAATAGTCTTACCCACTTCCCTTATAGCCCTTGAACCTTTTTACCCTAATTAACTATGTAAAGATTGTTAAAAATATAATAATAAAGAAAGAATTCTGAGAAAAAATAAATGCTAAGTAAGAAAGGTAAAAAAAAAAAAGAAACATAAAAAAATTAGTGAAGAAATAGCAACTGACTATGGACTACTGCATAACCATAAAAAAGGAAAGAACCCTATTATTTGCAATAAAATAAACTAGTCCCGGGCCCAGTGCCATGGCCTAGCGGCTAACGTCCTCACCTTGAATGCACCGGGATCCCATATGGGCATTGGTTCTAATCCCTGCAGCTCCACTTCCCATCCAGCTCCCTGTCTGTGGCCTGGGAAAGCAGTCGAGGACGGCCCAAAGCCTTGGGACCCTGCACCTGTGTGGGAAACCTGGAGGAGGTGCCTGGCTCCTGGCTCCAGATCAGCGCAGCACCGGTCATTGTGGTTGCTTGGGGAGTGAATCATCGGATGGAAGATCTTCCTCTCTGTCTCTCCTCTCTGTATATCTGCCTTTCCAGTAAAAATAATAAATTTTTTTAAAGCCAATGCTATTGTACTTTTACTTTGAAACTTGTTCCCTTTTTGAAGGCAAAAGCATAAAGCAATAGCTATAAATCTATGTTAATGAACTCTCGGTATATAAAGACGTGAACAATATTCGAGAGAAAGACCATGAGGATGTTCCAGGGCCCCTCGGGGTGTCTGCAAATGGGGGACGAACAGGTAAGTTCCTTTGGTGCAACAGTATTTTCAGAGGCGGCATTGCAGCACAGTGGGTGAAGTCACCGCTTGCAATGCTAACCCCCGTATGGGTGCTGGTTCACGTCCTGGCTGCTCCACTTCCAGCTCTGTGCTAACTGTCTGGAAAAAAGCAGTACAATTTGGCCCTAATGTTGGGGCTCTTGTCACTCACATGGGAGACCAAGATGAACACGATGAAGATCCTGGCTCGGCCTGGCCCAGCCTGGCCATTTGAGGAGTAAACCAGTGGATGTGTGTGTGTGTGTGTGTGTGTGTGACTCTTTCAAAGTAAATTCATCTTAAAAATAAATAAATAAATAAAAACGGGTCAGTGGCAAAGCGAGCTAACCCTTCTCCTGTGGTGCCGGCATCCCACACGGACACCAGTTCATGTCCTGTCTGCTTTACTTCCCAGTTCAGCTCCCTGCTAATGGCCTGGCAAAGTAGCAGAGGAAGGCTCAACGTTTTGGGCCCCTGCACCCACAAGAGACCCGGAAGGAGCTCCTGGTTCCTAGCTTTGGACTAACCAGGTCACCTAGGTTGGACATAGAGGCGGTACCGGCAGAAGAGGGCTGAGGTTTGCCAGACCCAACTGACAGGTGACACGAGACAGTCTGGCCCACACTGTTCAAGTCACT